TACCTATGCCCTCGTCTTCGCAGTGTCGCGCACACTCATGGAACTCAGGTGCGCCTGCCGCCACTCTTCCGAGTGTACGTATAAATACGTTCAAACGGAATTGGCGAATAAAAACCTACGATCGTTTTCAAATTCATTCGTAAAGCTCCTCGAAAAGACCTGCTTAAATGTCTAAAAAATCTCGAAAAACTTTCTATCGACAGCGAATACAAAAGTCACCGATCGTAAAATTATTGTTTCCGGAAGTAGGAAGTCGGCCGTGATTTGGCACATTCGAGTGTGTGTTGCAAGTCCTGCGAAAAATGGCAGTGTCGTGGAGAAGCCCGTTTTTCAAACCCCGGTGAGTTACACGATATGCGTAAAAACATGGCAAGCGTTCGACGCTTAGAACCGCGTTAGTTTTACTTTCAAATCAGTCTGAGGGGGAACAGTTCAGAATTCGAGCGATTTCTCGCCGGTGCTCGTTCCTTTTTGATTTTCTTTCCTTCTTCTTCGACCCATTTAGATCGATATGCATCACTTTTTATCCGACTGTTTCACGGAAAACTTCGAAATTAGCTTTCTATCCGAGGGAAATGTCCGTCCCTGTCGTAACCTGTGCCTAAGTCTACATACAGGGTGTCCCAATTGTTTCGGATCAAACTTTGCCAGTGTATTCTATGGGTGCAAGCAAGAAGAAAGTGTCGTATAAACGTGGGTCGTTTGAAGCTTCGTTAAAAAGTTACAACGATAATAGGAAACAGGAAGAGGTTGGTATAAACGTGGGTCGTTTGAAGCTTCGTTAAAAAGTTACAACGATAATAGGAAACAGGAAGAGAATGGTAACGAATGTTGATATGTACATCTAGTCGGTTTACGCGAGCTGTGTTTACGATCTGAGATCGTCGAAGATGACGAGTGCAACTTCTGCCTGTGTTATTCTTCTTTTGTATCCATAGCAACCGCAAGTTTTTCGTATTTCTCTTATAACTTCGTAATAAAGCTTCAAACCACCTATGTTCATACCACACTTTTCACTTATCTATACCCATAGAACACACTGACGAAGTTTCATCCGAAACAATTTGGACACCCTGTATACGAAGAAATTTGCTCGATCGTCGACGCCACACGGAACGAAGATCAACGTATCAATGTAACGCGCTTTCGGTTTTTCAATCAGCGTTTGTGTGCAACTGTGGAAAAAGAACGGCCGTGTTCAGATTCGAATACGGATTCGAACGAGAGATATATGTATACATGTATACTTGCAATCGAAGTGCGCGACATTCGAAGAGAGATGTCGAGTTTTGTAAACGACGAACGAATCCCGGACGTCCGGGGATGGACGCCGTCGACGTTTAGACTAGCGGTTTCGTCGGCACGGCGAAAAATGTACAGAGCGGGTGTTTCTTTTTTTTTTTCTTCTTTTAGAGGATGCGTGCAACCGCCCGCACGCGGAAATAATGCCTTACTTAGAAGTCTTAGGATTTAATAACGGACTTAAAGTAATCAACGGTGTTTAGATGTACGTATAAACTTTACAATGCAACAGAGCCCAACCTTCGACGTAAATCGGGTCCGTCTTGCAGACGGACAGACGTCTCGTTTCTCCTCTTTTTTTTTTTGTTTTATTCTTTATCTTCCTTTGTAAACATTCCGCGAATAGTTGACTACGTTTAGCTGCGTAAAACGGGCCAAATCGGCGCTCTCTCGTTTCTTTTTTTTTTGGTTCAACTCGCATCCCGGATTCCTAATTACCACGCAACTGGACACAGGCGAGCACGCGGATCGAGGGCCGAAAACGACGCCTGCTCGTTTTACGAAATTATACAGCTGCTTTGTGCATCGGAACACGCAATCGAACGGAGAGTAAGAAAATCAGTCTTACGAATTGAAAGAATCGCTTCTTTCGTCTGGGAACGTTGCACGGGCTTTGGAACGTTCGTTGTGAAGAAGAAGAAAATCGGTCGACACTTGTACGATAATACCGAACTACAGAAAACTGCACTTTGAAAAGTCCACGTATGTACGTGGATTGGTTACTGACATTAGCAAAATGAGACGTTGCTCGGGAATTGTCTGCGTGTCGCAATAACGGATCAACGACGCCTGAATAGAGCTAGATCGAAAGCGAGCGCGGAACGTAGTTGCAAAAAATAACGACGGACTTGTCTAGAATCGTAGAACGAATAGTGTGGGCCAGTGTGACGAAAATAAATGCTCCCGGTCTGTACCGAGTGGAGAGACACGTTGCTTAGATCGCGGGTAATCAGTTGCGCAATCGTTAATTTCATCGACGTTGGGCAAAACGTTTTTCACAATCGCGTTCTACCGTCCATCTGTTGTCCTTGTTTCGTTTCAAATTTTTTCCCATTAAAGTACATACGTACTTCTATTCGTATACGTGACCTCTCTAGTTGAAGTTCACACTGTGCGAACGTTCGAAGTAATCGTGCAACGTTCGAAGGAAGATCGAAACGTTCGTCTCGCAGTGTAAACGCGAGGATTCCACGAATGACGAGACGGCGTCGTTTTCCGCGTGTATCGCTGGTGCTCCAAAGGACTTCCCGTGCTTTGTTCGTACGATTAAGTCTTTGGTCTCGAATGGGTCGCCCGCCGGCAAACGAGTCGCAGCGGTCTGAGCAAATTGTCGTTTGGCACGCACTCCTACACGCGATTAACTCATTCAACCTCTTGACCATTCACTCGTCACGTACACGCGCGCACGGATGTAATATCTCGTTGCGTCATAGATAAAGAAGAGAAAGGTGTAATAACGGTATGCTCGAGTACCCTTGTAATCGAAGATTTTTTACGACGAAACGATCTCGTATTTTCTTATTCCGAGATCGTGGTAATCGTATCAAAGCATCATTAGGTTATCGAATTCCGAATTCCCTAACGCCACGGACCATTCACTGAGTCGTAGGACTTCGATTTTCGGATTTCTGGGGTCGTGGGCGTGGCTATGAACCAATGTACTGGGTTACGGGGCGTGGCTATGGATCCCTATTGGGTTGTCGAACCCTTTGGAATCTGTGGCCACGCCCACGATCCTTGGCCACGCCCACGACCCAGTATATTTGTCCATGGCCACGCCCACGACTCCCGAAGCTGGGAAAATCGACATTCCACGACCTAGCTCCTTCCTCTCCTCGTTATCTATGAGCGATTCATCTGCCGATTTCCAGCAACGAATATAATTTAATTTTCATCTATAATCGACAGAGAGAAAAAGGGAAACAGACGCGCTTAATTACGCGTCACCACGTCCTATCTTTTGTGTTTTTTTCTTTTTTTCTTATTTTCATTCGTTTTAAATCTAACCACGTCGAAACTTCCGACGAGACACCAGATAGAAGGATTCATTTACCTAATTGTTTTGGACCATGGGATCGTTAGGGGAAGAACAGGGATTACTTGGTCTACCGCGGACATAGGGGTAGTGGAGACGGGGAGGCACACAGGGGAAGAAAGTGAAGATGAATTAAACGGCGATTGAATAATCGGAGGAAGGATTATTTTGGGTGCTTGGCCTTGACCATAGGGAGCTCCTCAATCCGAGTTTCAGCTTCTTCAAGGAGTCAATGTCGCACTCAGCTTCGCTGAGCTCCGGCCGATCGGAACGATCGCCGTTACCTGGCACCACGTTCCCCTGATTGCCTCCTACGAACGTGGTCTCCGCGACCGATATCGGCGGTAATAGTGTGCGTAGTGAGCTCCTGCTGGGAACATGCCATCTTATGGGACAGCCAAAGAAACGATCTTACTACTGGTGAAAGTATGATGTTTGCATGTTGGTTGAATCGTGATCGTATAGAGTGCTTTTCTCTTATGGATTCGTAAAGATTTTATAAAATGGTAACTTCATTAATGGACAGCATTGACCGAAGTGACTTTCATGAACAAAGAATGCTCTGTACGATGCTATGAATATGAATGAACGATGAATGATAATGGTACATTACAACTGACGAATGTATCTATGCATTTTTTACTTCAACGTTTAGTATATTTATAAAAAGAAAAGATTAGTTATTTATCAGTTACCTAGATCGTCCTCTTCGAGGTAGTGACTTCTGCTCTGACATGGGTGAGATGTCTGAAGAAGTGCTCGACGTACCGTGGTAAATGAAATCGGAAACGGCCCGAACTAAACACATTTTATTAAAAGATCAAATTACTCGAAATATGTAAAAGAGAATAATACGACGTACTGTGTTTTAGTTTTCCAGCGTCCAGCTGGTTGGAAGACTCCGTGCGAGAACTCGTAAGTTGATCCGGGTCAGACTCGCTCTCGTCGCTCTCGACGTCGCCCGGAGTTTGTTGCTTTCTCTGCTGCCGTCTCCTCGACGAAACGCTCTTCATGCTCTGCAAAAGAAAAAAAATTCATAACGGTATCGATATCGGATCATGGGGCGTCGACTTTCCCTATCTTGGGGTCGTAGGCGTGGCCACAGCGTGGGCGGAGTTCCACGGCCCAATAGCAGTCCATGGCCACGCCCACGACCCCGCAGATGTGGAACTCGAACCCGGTGATGGTTTGTGGTATTACGAAATTCGAAGTTTCAAAACTTCGCTTTGAACTTACCGCCGCGGCAGGTGGAGGACTGGCGCACCCTTCGGTCATGGCGTGCTCGTGATACATGAAACTGTGTAGAAGAGTGTTGTTCGGGTGGAGGCCGGCCGCTGAAGCTTCCGCCGCGCTTCCCAGTCCTCCCAGCCCTCCCAGCCCTGCCAGGCTTCCCCCGCCACCCTCCGAAAGCTGGAACGTAGCGTACGGAGAGATGTCCTCCGCTGTCTCTGTAACCCATCAGAGGCATTGCCTACCTTTCAAATCGCGTTGGGATGAATTGTTTAGGTGTCAACGAATGTTCTGTTCTATAAATTCACGACTCTACTTTCATTTCTCTTCATTTCTCTTTCTTATCATTTTTAATACGAACTATTAAATGCAACTTGTTTCTCGAGGAGAATATCACATGAAAGTGTTTCCATTCGACGTCACAACTAGAAAATATTCTACTGTATTCGTGTTTTAACTGAGAAATATTTCAAGTATCTTTTTCATAATATTCTCCCACAGAGAACCTGTTTATCTCTATACTACAAGCCCAGGATACTTTCACGAATCTCCGAAGGTAGCTTTTTCTTCTTACTCTCGTTCCGAAATTTACATGACATCGTAAAGGGTGTATCCTTTCTAAAGAATTACAAGGATGATTAATGAAGGTGAAAGCGATGCATGAGAGAACGTTGAACAAAAAAAATACGGTAAAGCAAACGAGTGAAACATTCAACGTCGGTCGCGTACAGGGTGTAAAAGAGACAGAATAAAAACAGACAATGGTCTACTGTGACGGAGGAAAGATGTTGTAAAGTAATCCACCTTTGCTTGTGAACTGCAATCGATCGCTAACGGGTCTGTCCACTCCCGGCTGAACAGCGCTACGCGTGCGACTTTTTTTTAATTTTTTACCTGAACAACAATTATAGTACCAAACCTGGCTGTCGTCCGTATCGTAACAAAGGTTCACCTGGAATCTTGTCGGGCCCTCCGCCCGTATTCGCCGCTTGTTGTAAAGCCACCTTGTGAATCGTCGCGTAGTAACGTTCCCTTTGCGTCTCTGCGTTCTGTTGGTTCTCCTGGGACTCTTTCATGGCACGTTGCATTCTCTCACCGAGATATCCTGAGACATAATTATAGGGAAAACTTACACTTTGTGTGAAAAATTAATTTCCCAAAAATTTTAACATTTTAAATATTTAAATGTTACTTAAGCTATGATAAGTGATACGAAAATTGTAACGAAGAACGTACTGCTTCGCCAGCGAAGGGCTACGATCACCACAGCGACGACTAGTGCAAGGGTGGCCACGATCAGTGGCAGCATCACTTTCACGTCCGCGTAGAATGGAACCGCTGAAGCAATCCCGCGTTTCGAGAGTTCTGGAGGTGGCGGTTCTGCAAGGTTTCAGGAACACAGTGCTTTTGGATATAATTCTTTCAACGTGAAAATTCTCACCAGACTACACTTAATTCATCGTTTCCTCGGCTGGTCTCTATAGACTGTCTTTCTATTCTTCGTCCAAAATAAATCGATCTTTCAACGTCACCTCCTGATTACTTTATTTTCTATCAAACGTACCTTCAAACACCAATTGATTTTAGACGAAGAATAGTTGCACCCCCAAGCTTACCGCCTTCCTTCGTCAACGTTACGAACGTAAATTCCGCCTGATTGCTACCAGCCACATTGTGAGCCTCGACTTTCAGCTGGTAAACCGAGCTCGGTTGCAAATTCGTCACGACGAACCGCCGTTGCATTTTCACGCTGTTCGACACTAACGTCCAGTGGAATTCGTTGATGGGCCTGTACTGTATCACGAAGTAGAGGATCGGGCAGCCATTGTCAGGCCACACGTGAAGTCGAAGAACTAGAGTGGTTGAGTTTGGACTGAGGAAAGCTGCAGCTGGAGGTATACCTGGTGCCTGGCCCTGAGTTCGAACCGAGAGGACCGGTGACGATGGGCTGCTTCCAATTTTGTTGTGAGACGTTAAGTATAGTTGGTATGTGTTACCACAGAGAAGACCCTAGCAATTGTCGAAACAACGAATTAATCATTTACTCAAAGTATTCTTGAAATGTTTAAATAAACTCCCTTGCTTTAACCCATTCGAAACTGGTGACGCACCGTGTGCGTCAGATGAAGGACATCATTTTATCAGTCTTTATTGGAGTTAGGATAAAAGGAGTGTTACAGAAAAAATTGTGTAAAATTAAAAAGTGATATTTCTTCAAGATAGAGAAACAAATAGTCCACAATTAGGATCATCGGGTCTTCGAAATGTGAGTAGCGATGAAGAAAGTGACTGCAGGTTTCTGGGGATTTGGTACCTTTAATTCGTGACTGGTGGCATGACGAGACAGTTGTAATTCATCCAGATTACCATGAGTCGTCCGATAGTGCAACGTGTAGCCTGTAAGTGGAGCACCACCAGTGTGTCCTGGTTTCCAATGCAACAGAACACTGCTCGACGTAGAACTTGTTACATAAAGAACTGGAGCGTTAGGTGGTACTGTAAGTAAACCAAATTCCAGTCAATAATTCCTCTGTATCCATTCATCATTGTCAGATTGTAACATATCAAAATATGTAAAATATACGAGACTAACGTTACAATCTTCCTGACTAAACTACGGTGCATTTGTCTACGCATTAGTGCTGCTATTTACGTATCTCAAGAAATTTGATATTCTGTTAATTTTCATATGTTACAATTGCACAAACATCCAGAGTCTAGTTATTCCTTGAAAAATGAGGTTTACCTTGCACAGTCAACGTGTAGTGCAACTTGTCGCTTCCCTGAGCGTTCTCCACCTGGCAGGTATAATTTCCACCGTCCTGTGATTGCAAATTCGACAACACGAGCTCTCCAGAAGGCAAGATCTGTATATTTCTCGTCGTGTCTGTACGAATTTGTTCAGCCAGCCCCTTGTACCACTCTCTAGTAGGATCTCCAACCGCGTTACAAGCTAAAGTAGCAGATCCTCTCCACGGTCTCACTACGTGACCCCCGAAAGACGTGATTCTAGCTGGTACCCGATTCGTCGGTACCTGTTCAGCCACTTTGGAACTTTGACCTTCTCCTACACGGGTGCTACCGGTCACCCAAAATTGATATTCTACGTGTTGTTGTAAATCAGTCGCTTCGAAATATGTGCTCGTTGCTGGCAGTGTTCTTTTACCGTGATTCAGTTCCTCACGACCGTCTACGATTCTACGAAACAAATTGACATTCTCGGTGTAACTATAACCGTAGAAAAACTTGAACAATGATTTAGAGCAAGTTGCTTTTACCTTGTATACAGATTGTATTTTGTGATAATTCCATTTGGTTCCAAGGGAGGAAGCCAGGAGATGAAGAGGGCTTGTGGCGAGCTAACTACTACTTTTATATCTGCTGGACAACCTGGCACTGTGAACAAATACAAAATTTTATTAAATTTTCATTCATGAAATTACTCATTTTGTCAGAAGAGACTTTACCATCTTCCTCTGTTTGACAGTAAGTCACCGTCGTCGGTATTCCGTCTCCAACTCTCGTGAAAGCTAATACTTGAATGGTGTAATTGGTGTATTTTCTTAATCCTGTGAGGACAGTGGTTAAAGCGCTGGTCTTGCGCACCTAAGATAGAACAGCGTTGAAAGGATTTAATCAAGATCTTCTTTTTTGAAATTATAAAATTATACGAATTATTCTTACTTCCATTTCGTCGACGCTGCGCCATATGTCTGCCAAGATTGGTTCGTAGTGCAATTTGTACCCCTGAATAATACCGTTGCTTTGCGTGTTAGGCGGCGGCTGCCAGGATACTTGAAGAGATTGCGAAGTTAACGCAGCACATCTCACGTCTTTGGGTGGCATACTTGGCACTGAGGTTAATATTTCGAGATGAAGTATTCTTTCAAAAATTTAGTCCGCAGAATCTCGCGTAATTGTCGGTACGTTAGACCGAATAGAGTGTACATCTTACCGTCTTCCAGCGTTTGCGTGAGCAAAGGTTCAGAAAGTGGTCCAGATCCGACTTGATTATACGCTTGAACCACCAAAGTGTACTTTGTGTAGGGTCGAAGACCTGTTAGACGAAGTTCTGCACCCCCTTCTTCTCCGTCCCCGGACACGGAGCTGAAGTTGTACGAGAGATTCACCGAGCTGAAAGAAGATTCCCCGGGTAATGGAGTTCTCAACTTGAACGGCTAAACGATTTTCAAACTGCTTGTATAATTAAATTCTGGAATAAACATACGCGTTAACGGTTCGCTTTCTGTTGCAAAATTTATACTAAAAAAAGAATTTAAGGATATACAGGGTGTTTGGTAACTGGTGGTACAAGCGAACAGGGGGTGATTCTACATGAAAGAATAAGTCGAAAATATAGAATAAACATTTTTCGTTTGAGGCTTTGTTTTCGAGAAAATCGACTTTGAATTTTCTTCGAGTACGCATGCACCCTACTATGTCGTGGATGAACGGATCTCGATATAGACCATATGTCGTAGGTTTATGAGTAATAATAAAGCATGTAATTATCAAGATTTACTTTATTAATGCAAAAATTGTTGAAAATGCTGGCCACCGTACACCGAACGTCGAGATCCATTCATCGACGGCATAGTAGGGTGCATGCGTACTCGACGAAAATTTAAAGACGATTTTCTTGAAAACAAAGCCTCAAACGAAAAATGTTTATTCTGTATTTTCGACTTATTCTTTCATGTAGAATCACCCCCTTTTCGCTTGTACCACCAGTTACCAAACACCCTGTATATTAAAGACTTACATTAAAATAAGTATTTACCATTACATAGATATCTAGCCTATTTATAGGTTATAAAATGCTTTTATGAATATGCACTAATTTATATACGTGTCAATTAAGTTCGTAATTTTATAAGAGATTGTATAAATCTATAGAATGTATACAAAAATATTATATATTAATATATTATATACCGTTATATCGACATACGTCCTTGAACGTGTAAAAGATAGTATTAAGCCAGTCTTGCTTATTTATAAATACAATTTTAATTAATTAAGTATATATTTATTAAATTATAACTGCCTAATATATATATATATATATAAATTATTTATTATATAATAGGAAATTATAAAACATTTCCTTTAATATTAATTCCTTTAAATTTAAGACTTAGGTTCATCTTCTTAAATTCAATCTATCGTTACAATTTCCGAATGTTAAACCAGTCTTTTAGAAGGTTAAACCATCTATTCTATACGAACATGGATTACCTACATATTGTTAGCTCTTTCCGGTGTAAGAAAAACAAATCAGATCATCACGGAAAAAGAAATTTTAACCTTGCAAAAATCAGATCCTGACAACTTCAGAATTACTCCTTCACTATACTAGAAGTAAACCAGTTTTTCTCTTCTCCTGTAAGTTTGGAAAAATTCTAAATTACCTGTTTCGTTTAAAAAATAATACACAAAATAGTAAAAATTAAAATTTCTATGAATTTCGCTTAGAAATTCACAGTCACCGTACAAGACATTACTCTGCTTCGACGTTCCTACCTTGTTTCCCTATAGCCAACATTGAACCCTTGGATGTCACCGTGTCGGAGTTCAGGCAACGGTGGCGACCAAGTGATTAAAATTTCAGAGGAGGACAGAGCCCTGGCTGCAAGATTAATCGGGGGTCCAGCCGGTCTTTGTGGCTCGGTCCTGACAATCAGTTCCGCCGAGGGCACTGATCTACCTGCCGGACCTTCAGCTATTACGCGTATCGTGTATCTGGTCGCTGGTTTTAATTCGTCTATCAATGCAGCGTATGGTAAAGGTGGTCCGGTGAATTCTTGCTGTTGCCACATTCCAGCTATTTTCGTTTATTAATTTATTAATTTATTATCGTATTATTTATTCTTAAATTTTTTTTTTTCAAGTAATATTCTATTCACCGTTGCCTTCTTTGTACTGAAGAATGTATTTAGTCACTTCGCTGGTGTCTTGGGATTTATGCTGCCACTTCACGTTGATACTTCGACTGGCAACCATTGCTGTTTCTAAGGAATTTGGCGGCTGCGGTGGCTCTGAAATTAAATATACCTTTCCGTCGAAGAATTTTGTATTTACGTTGATTCACATTTATATATCAATTGTTATACCTTGCACGAGGAGTTGCACCAGTTGCTGATCACGACCGTAAAGATTGCTCGCCTGACAGAAATAGGCGCCGCTGTCAGACGCTTCCGCGGAAGAAATCTGCAGCTGTGCTATCACACCGTCTGGTGTCACCTCTCGTTTCACCGTGACCCTTTTCGCACAATATAACGATAAAGGAAGGATCAGTTATAAATTCTGCTTATTAAAACTTGAAACTTCTACTTGTTACAAATAAATAACGCAAGCGGTTGGAATTTTTATCTGCAATTTGAAATTTGTTTCTAACAGTAACGCGTGTGTTATACACATCGGATGAGATAGTTAACGAAAGTTCCAAGTAACATTTTTCCGTTGTACATTTTAACGAAACAAGTTTCTGGCAGTATCAAGGGTGTGTCTCGTTCGATAGTATTCAAGCTAATCTCAGCTTTACCGATAGTTCGTCGAGGGATTTAACTCAATTTTTCCGCCTTTCAGCCAAGTGACGGTGACTGGCGTGTCGCCGTGCACCTCACAATGCAACGTCGCGGTGTCGCCTTTCTTCACGGTGACGAGTCTCGACGGTGCCGCGAAATATGGAGATGCTGTCGAGGCAATAAAACGAGAAATTCACGTTACACTGGATCGTACGTGCTTACGTTTCATTAGGTAAGATGGATTTATCATCGTTTCGTAACAACGGAAAACCGATTCTCACACAATGTCTGTACTTACAGTTTACTTTCAGCTGGACCACCTTCCCGATACCGCTACCAATGCCGTTGCTAGCTTGACAGAGATAAAATCCTTCTCTGTCTTCTTTCACGTGTTGCAATAACAGCGTACCGTTGCTGAGGATTTTCGTGTACGCCCGTTCCCGCAACTCCTCGTATTCACCGGATTTACTTCCTGTTTTGTGCGAGATAACGAACCACTTTGAGTCGCGAAAACAGGCAGGTCGTACGAGTGTACGAATTTTCTAAGGTAAGTAAGGCTTGATAGAAAATTCAAATTTCGCGGTAATACGAAACGTAAATGCAGTGGGTGGAATTCACCTACGCTTTCGGTATTTTTTCAACGCTACAGAGCGACGCTACTGAATATATTTTTACAAGGTTTCAGAGGTGGCTGTATTTTATTTAGACCTTCGACGAAGAGTAATACGAAACATGAATGCAGAGGGTCGGAATTCAACTTTACTTTCAATATTTTCAATACCGCAATGACAGTACTGAATATTTTTTTTCCAAGACATAGAGGTGACCATATTTTATTTAGACCTTGGACGAATTTTTAAAATTCAACGTAGCAAGGGATATTTTTTCCAATATTTCAAAGATGACCCCATATTTTATTTAGATCTTGGAAGAATTTTTTAAGAAACGTTCATTTTAGATTTCACAAAGGTGGAAACCCTCCATCGTATGTTATTTAGATCTTCGACGCATTTTTTATACAGGGTGGTCCACGCAACGTGTGCACCGTTATAACTTCCAAAATATGCGTTGCACGGAAGACTGTTATATACAAAAGTTACATGGTTTAAAAGGGTACACTATGTAGTGTGTTAATTTTTTTTATAGGTCGAGGCGTTTCGGAGATTTGAAGGTCAACTTTGTTTTTTTAAACAGAATACTATATTTTCTATACCAAAATATGGAAGAATATCGAATTGTAAGTAAAAAAATATCGACCGTTATTAGCCCTATACCGATTTTAAACAGAATACTATATTTTCTATACCAAAATATGGAAGAATATCGAATTGTAAGTAAAAAAGTATCGACCGTTATTAGCCCTATACCGAATAGCTAACGAGTAATTTCACTTTATTACTTGAAAATTTTCTTCACGTAATATCAAGTTGGAGATTCAACGTTATCTGTGATATAAGGTTAGGTTAGGTTATTCCAAATTTTTCGTGCAACGCATACTTTGGAAGTTATAACGGTGCACACGTTGCGTGGACCGTCCTGTATTTAACACATGGCAGCGACACTTTTTTTTCAGTATTTCAAAGGGTGATATCACCAATCACTCACATCTTAATTTAGATATCTTCGAAGATGAATTTTCTACGTTCAATTGGCAAGGAAAATCGGAACTCCGTAATAAAGTAAGAATCGAAGAAAAATGTTGATATTAAAAAAACGGGGGGGAATCGAACCCACGACCTCCAGATTAGCAAGCCGGGACGCTACCCACTACCCCAACGCGTCCTACCTATGTTTCCCCCTTCTTACTCCTACACTACTTGCGTACGGAAACCCCCGATCTCGCAACGGAAACAAAATTTCTCACCCGTGGCTTTTTTCCAAACGATGGTAGGCGTAGGCACACCCTGCGCTTGACAATGTAGAGCAACGTGTTTGTTTCTCTCGACGCTGACGTCCGTGGGCTCGACGATCCATCGCGGAGGCACTGAAAACCAGAGCAGACAGCTTTAAACGGTTCCACCGGGTTGACTAGCGTCCGTGTAATTTTTTCTTCGTTGTTTTTTTTTTTTCTCTTTTTACTGGTCGTTAGCGATTTAGAGACAGGTACGTCGTGAGAGAGAGAGAGAGAGATAGAGAGTCGTGAAAAGCGCGGCGAAAGAAGGACGAGCTCGTCGACGGTGTTGGCGCTACGTCGTCGAGACGCACTATCGAGATACCGTATGTACATACAAAACGATAGATATACACTGTACAAGAATGAAGATATATATATATATATATAAGTACAAAGAGAGAACGCAGAACGACGGCGCCTGACGTCGACGAGTATCAATCGTTCCTTTTCTTTTTTATTACTTCGTCTTATTTTTTCTTCTTTTTTTCTTCTTTACTCGAAAAAGTGACATCCGTAGGTAAATATCGAGACGATCTCCACACGAGAGACAGTTATACTCGGTGAAATTTGCAAGTTTCGCGGAACGGAAGTGAGAAGAATTTTGAGAATTTCAAGGTATCCGTTAAGAACATGGTGGTAAGAGAGAATGGTAGATTTACGTTAATGAAAAAGTGACAGAGACATTAAAGACAAAAGTGAATGAAGGTTTTTCGTTGGGCGAGGTAAAGTATGGAAGTGGGGGGTATATATTATTTTCTTTTCCTTTTTTCTTTGCGGAGTCGATGCGTGACGTCCTCTCGACGTTCGCAGGCTTGCTCATGTTCGACTTCGATACCAATTGTTCGGATCGTTTTGGAACATGATGGTACACAACAACAACGGAAAAAAATAAAGAAGAGGAACTGAAACAAGATCAACGATTCGTTCTCTGCTTCTACGGAAGGATCATTATCAATGTTTAATAAGCGGTTCGATCGATACACCATAGACGTACATACGGAGCCCAAAAAGGAGGCAGACGAAAGTAAAACAGAACGTGTAAAACGAAAAACCAAACAGACAAAATAGAACAGAACCAGGTTAAAAAAGTACACAGTGCAGAATGAAGCGTCTATCCAGACTCTGTATATGTATATATATCTAGCTACGGCTCAAAACGAAATCTTCTGCCACTAATAATTATACGTGTGCATCGTCTAAATTGCGACAAACCAATCACGGAAGAATAGCGAAGAGTGTGAAGTTGAACGTACATTTAAACGGAGGCATGAAGGAAAACGAGAGAAAGTAAAGAGTTATAACGATGACTCGCAAGGAACGTCGCGCATCGACGTGTCGAGAGTTTGAAGAGAGGTTTCTTGTCATTTTTTGGGTGTACTGTTTGGCGGGTTCTACTTTTTACGGTGGTGAAAAACGCTGCACAAGCGAGATACTGTGAGTGGGAAGTTTCAACGTTTTACAAGACGGCAAATACCGGCCACGCATTAACGCGTGCGACAATATAATATATATATAGATATATATATATGTGTGTGTATAATGGTAATAGACCAAGTGTGTCATATCTGTGTATCATTCGTGTGTGTGTGTGTGTGTGTTTGTAGTGTGAGTAAAAAATACGTCGTATAATATATATAGATATATATACTCGTTCAACGGTGGCGTGAAACAAGTAGAACTCTCGGAAGTAGAAAAGGCGCAGTTTGGGTAGGACGTGTGAGGTTACGGATGAGAGCATGTCGGCGGAAGACCGAAAAGATATATTCGTGGATAGGCGAATAATAATATATATATGTATATATAGATATATATCAAGTACCCGCTTCTAACGACTAGTTCGATGAAATACGAGTTTAATTAATCATAAATACGTACTACTAGCCTACAATTACCGGAAAGTACCGCGGTGAAAACCATGGGGCACGTGTATCGCTTCAGTTTTACGAGAAAAATCTTCCAAATTTGATATGTTCTTCTTTCTTTCCATCGGCTTTTCAAGATTTGTCGCATGCGTGTCGAGTGTTTTTTTTTTGTTTCCTTCGAACCGAAGTATCTTTTTCGTTTACCGATCGAGGAGAAGAAGTCCGTTGCACTCGTGCCCCGTGTATTTCGCGACCGCGTGGGAAAGATAAAAAAGTAGCGTGACAGAGAGATAGTGACAGAGAGAGAGAGAGAGAGAGAGATAGTAAAGACAGTGAGAAAAGCATGCAGAAGTGTAATGAAAAAAGGTTGCCTTCCAACGAGCCCAAAGGAGAGCCAGCGCATAGGTTTCTGTGAAGATTTTTGGTCGTGAGCAGAGTGGGCACGTGCTCGTACTCGGGTGATCAAAGAACACTTAAAATATATATATATATATAAGTAATAATAATATATATGTACACAGACACACGTATATAAAGGTATATATATTAAGTATATATATATATGCAGACAGAAAAAACCACTACAATATAGTTCTCGCCGGTTAGTATAAAAAGAGCATGCAGAGATTCAAAAGTTCTGTGTGTGAGATGCTCACATACACGCACGCACGCAGGCCAGAAGAGAGAGTTTCGTTCTTATTTTTTTTTTTTTTTTTTTCATTTCGTTCGTACACATCGTCATTATTACTGCGTTTCATTATTTTTTTTTTTTTTTTTGCCAAATTGCTTTGCTTGGTTGATTGGTTGCTCCGGTATTGAAAAAAACGAGTAAAAATAAGGAAAGGTGCAAACTGTTACCTTTATTATTCGGTCAAGTCAAGCAAACCTCGGGGGGTCCACGAGATACCGACGCATTCCCAGAGAGCCAAAGCAACGTAAATGTAATACACACTGTGTCTTAGGGACAGGGATATTTCACTCTGGGACATTCAAGGATCAATGGATTCGACTCGATGACTTTAAGAGGGGGGTTTTCTTTCGATGATGAAAACGTGCGTGATCTCGCTACGAACAGACTCGGTTTTCTTAATATTTCTCCTTTTTTTTCTTTTTTTCGTTAGCAAATAGAGAGAAGCGTAGAATTTCGCGTACAGCTAGTTGTGTTGCTTGAAAATCGGTCTTGTTTCATGGACACGTCTGTAATCCGTGCGAGAACACTACGATGATTAACGATGGTGACGCAGGAATCGAATTATTAAAGCGTTATGACGTGACGTGGTTGTTACGGATGTTGATTATGGCTATCAGGATTGGAGGCGGGTTCGACGGACATCTCGGGAGCCGGATTGGAATATTCGAAGGATTGATCTCGACCTCGACGATATTTCTATCGCAACAGTACGCGATTCTTCTGGTAGAACTATCCTTTTTTCATTCTTCGTTTATCATCGGGACCTTATCTGTTCTTTCTGCTAATTAAAAATGTAACGGGCAAAAAGTCACATCGGCAAAAAAAATATTCACGTACACCTAAATACGGCAGGTTCAACTGTTCAAATAATCCGTTCAAAAGATCCTTCTACTGAAATGAAAAGAAAGGAAAGAATTCTAAGTGGCTGTGTACTAAACTCTAAGAAACGCAAAAGATCAAACTCGTCAAATCATTCCTGACGTGTAACGCAGTCTCGCAAGAAGGTATCGCTACCGAGAACCAAAATTCCCAAAATCAAACCTCTAAAACCATCATTCATTTTCTTCAATTCAACGAACACTAGCGATAATCGCAAACCATTCTAAACAAACACAGGACGGAGTTAACTAAAAAACGAACCACACTTATCCAGCATATTAAACAACGAAACCGAAGAACCAACCAAAAAGGAAAGAAGAAAGAAACACTTCGGTACAGATATGTGTAAACGGTACACTCGTCAAAACTGTGCTCAAATGCGTCGAATTGATCTTATAGTCTGGCAAGAGAGAGAAAAAAAAAAAAAATATTTCGCGTTCATCTCGCCGAGATCGATCAAGCGAGGCGAGGCAAGAGGTGGAGAAATTCGTAGGTTAAGGATGACGATGGATAAGGGTCGCCGATCATCTAGTTACCTTTTACCTGTAGCTTGGCCGTGTACCTGACCTCGGCGGCGGGGTTCGCGGCGACGCAGGTATAGTCGCCGGAGTGCTCGGCCGCGAGGTTCGTTATACTGAGGAGGCTCGAGTAGGGATCCAGTTGGGAGACATTTGCGACGGATGCGAGATTTGGCGGCAAGGGAAAAGGAGTTTGGCCGTCTTTTAGCCAGGATATAGTCAATGGTGGATCACCCGCCGCGACCCCGCACACCGTCCGCGTCCGCATCCCCTCGGATAGTCCCTCTTGGAACGTAAATGGCTCAATAATAGGGGGTACTGGAAAAGGTCAAGAGAGAAGAGAGAACCATACGTGAGAGCGAGAAAAAGATGGCACGAAAAAAACGCAAGAACCTTTTTTTTGTACCAGGTACAATGTGTATCTTTATATATATATGTATAAATGTATATATATATATATGTATGGGCGGTATATATGTTCAGATATTATATATATATATATAGACAGTAGTACGTCCATGTATATGTATAGATATATATATATATAGAATATAATATGTATATATATATATATACGTAGAATATGTACAATAGAGGCAGTATAGTAACGTAGCAATGTAGAGGAGAGAGAGGGTGGCCCCGCCGCGGACCTGCCCCTGCCGCCCTAAAACACCTTGTACACAGATAAGTTAGCATCGCACACTCGCACAGCATACGGTCGTTCCCAACGCAAGAGCTAGCATTCGTCGACTTTTTGGAGAATTTATTTCATGGACTATATCTCTCAAGTGACTCGGAATAATCGATCAATTTTTCTTTTCGCGAGTTTCGTTGAAATAGAAAATTGCTCTCCAAAGAGTCGGGACCAGGGACGAAGGAAGAAATGTGGGAGATGATTAAGTTGGCAGGTCTCGTGCAAGGAGGATGAGCCACGCTAAGCGTGAGCCGTCATCGAGTTACGCGTCACCAGGTCTCTACGTTCCTGGATGACGCCTGTTTGGGTGGCGTCGTATTAGTAAAAAAAAAATGAATGACTCCATCTCGAATGAACGCGTAAGAACTGAACGAGCTGTGTCGTCTGTAGTATCGTTTCACGTTCAAAGCTATTTACAGCGGTGAGACAGCGCTAAAACAACATCAAAGTTTCCAGAGTGAAGCGTGGAACGTGGATGAGAAACAACGTGTACAAGTAAGAGACACGGCAAACGATACTCGGATATACAGTATATTGTAATATAGAATATATATAGACTCGCTACGATTTCTGTTTTTTTTTTTCTCTTTTTCTTTTGCACGAAGAAGGATATGTATAAAAGAGAGAGTAAAAAAGAGAGAGAGAGAGAGTAAGAGAGAAGGAGAGACAGAGAAAGAGAGCGAAGAAAGAGAGAAGACAAGAGAAGAGAGAAGAGAGAAGAGAGAACAGCACTTTGAGATCCTCACGCGGTTCATTCGCAACGAGTTGTGGGCAACCGTGTCTGCATTCATACGAAAACATCACTCTTTCGGATTTCGGGCGGGCAGGCGGTCGTCGGGCAAAAATGAAGGGGGCCTAGAGGAGGATTACCATGAACCACAAGCCGCTGCGTGTGTGATACCTCTGCGGCCAGATTACGGGCCACGCACGAGTAGTTGCCGTTGTGATCTGGAGATAAACTTTCAATCATCAGTATGCTATTGTACTGGTCCATATTGGTGACACTGACTCGCTCCGACGGTCCCATCGATCGTCCATCCTTTAGCCACGAGATCGACAACGGCAGATCGCCCCTTGTCACTGAGCAAGTCAACGTGGTTCGTTCGCCGAGATGGAGATCACGATCTGCCGTGAATGGGCTAATTTTGGGAGGAACTGGAATAATAACAACAACGACAGCTCGTGAGCTCTCGACAAGCATAGACGAAGGTAAACGCGTCACACATCCTTCTGGAAAGATCCTCTTTTTCTTTCTTTTTTTTTTTTTTTTGCGGAAGAACATCTTCGAGATCCTAGATTTAGTATTTCTTTTTTTTCCCCCTTTCTTGCTTTCGTTCGTTCAGTCTGATCCCGTTTTCAAGGGAATCATTGTCCCGTTCGGAGCAACGATTTTTCTTTCGACATTTTATCGGGTTTCACTTCGTCTTTGCCTCGAGATTAATGGTTAAAGCCTCGGTATCGTCTGCTCGGCTTCGAGACACCTGCAACAATCGTAGAATAGGAAGTCGAACGAGACGCCTTACCGATCACTGCGACGTCTCCTGATCTTCTCGCGCTGTGTCCCTGTTTGTTCCTCGCCGAACAGGTGTACACTCCTGCGTCCCCTTTCTTCTGCACGCTCGTGATGACCAAAGTACCATCCGTGAGCACTTTCTGCCGAAGATCGTCCGGCAGCTCGCGATTCGCTCGTTCCCACTTGATCTCTTCGATAGGGTAGCCGGCTACTGGACACTTCAAGCGTAGAGTCTCTCCGGCGACGGCTGTTACCTTTGGAATCAGTCGAATGTACGGAAGACCTGAAATAAAAACATGTTTACCCTGATTACAACGAAATTTTATCGTTTCAGAAATTAACGCAAAGATATTCGTACGTTCGCGAGTTCGTGAAAAATTGCCCAAGTGTTTATCGGCGAATACTTCAATTTTATTCGAAATTTGTTTCACATTCTGAGGGAAAACGAGCGTGCTCTATTTCCAGTACAAACACATGAAATTTTACAGCCACTTCATTGTTTATAATATGTCGGGAAAATATTTCCCGTTAACGTGGTAATCGAGTCGAGTCGGTCTGACCATAACCAACCGCCGCTACTTACACACCGTTATAATAAAGTTGTCTCTGTCGGGAGAATAAAATTTTATACGAAGGCATAAAATTACGGTTGAAATGCAAATTTCGCGTAGAATACAGCTACAGCTGTATCGGTGTATCCTTTTGTGCCGGGCGAGATTAATATTCAGCTTGATGTATAGATCCAAACGGTCCGACATTCTACGCGGTAATACTACTTCCTCTTCCCTCTCTCTATCTCGATCCACCCGAGATAAAACAACGTTTCGCACGTCTTACGTAAACTCTTTCGTTTCTACGAATTAATTCCCTTTCGTCCGAGTAATCTCGAAGCAACGAAACATGTGGTAGGGTTACAAATCGAGGCACGAAACGTTAAACATAAATTGGAGAGGAACTCCGGGACAGGACAATCCACTTGTTAGACATTATTCACGAACTTCGAACCAAGCGAATTGAACGTGAAATTTACCGTAAACGTTGAGTCGAGCGGCGTGAGTGACTTTTCCAGCCCGATTCTCGGCGGTGCAAGAATATTCCCCTCCGTCCTCGACCATCACGTGGCTGATATTGACGTGCGAGATAACATCGCCGTGGACTGTCACGTATTGACCAATGACGAACCTTCGAACATCGAATAAGAAATCCGGGACGAAGGAAGAAATGTGGGAGATGATTAAGTTGGCAGGTCTCGTGCAAGGAGGATGAGCCACGCTAAGCGTGAGCCGTCATCGAGTTACGCGTCACCAGGTCTCTACGTTCCTGGATGACGCCTGTTTGGGTGGCGTCGTATTAGTAAAAAAAAAATGAATGACTCCATCTCGAATGAACGCGTAAGAACTGAACGAGCTGTGTCGTCTGTAGTATCGTTTCACGTTCAAAGCTATTTACAGCGGTGAGACAGCGCTAAAACAACATCAAAGTTTCCAGAGTGAAGCGTGGAACGTGGATGAGAAACAACGTGTACAAGTAAGAGACACGGCAAACGATACTCGGATATACAGTATATTGTAGTATAGAATATATATAGACTCGCTACGATTTCTGTTTTTTTTTTTCTCTTTTTCTTTTGCACGAAGAAGGATATGTATAAAAGAGAGAGTAAAAAAGAGAGAGAGAGAGAGTAAGAGAGAAGGAGAGACAGAGAAAGAGAGCGAAGAAAGAGAGAAGACAAGAGAAGAGAGAAGAGAGAAGAGAGAACAGCACTTTGAGATCCTCACGCGGTTCATTCGCAACGAGTTGTGGGCAACCGTGTCTGCATTCATACGAAAACATCACTCTTTCGGATTTCGGGCGGGCAGGCGGTCGTCGGGCAAAAATGAAGGGGGCCTAGAGGAGGATTACCATGAACCACAAGCCGCTGCGTGTGTGATACCTCTGCGGCCAGATTACGGGCCACGCACGAGTAGTTGCCGTTGTGATCTGGAGATAAACTTTCAATCATCAGTATGCTATTGTACTGGTCCATATTGGTGACACTGACTCGCTCCGACGGTCCCATCGATCGTCCATCCTTTAGCCACGAGATCGACAACGGCAGATCGCCCCTTGTCACTGAGCAAGTCAACGTGGTTCGTTCGCCGAGATGGAGATCACGATCTGCCGTGAATGGGCTAATTTTGGGAGGAACTGGAATAATAACAACAACGACAGCTCGTGAGCTCTCGACAAGCATAGACGAAGGTAAACGCGTCACACATCCTTCTGGAAAGATCCTCTTTTTCTTTCTTTTTTTTTTTTTTTTTGCGGAAGAACATCTTCGAGATCCTAGATTTAGTATTTCTTTTTTTTCCCCCTTTCTTGCTTTCGTTCGTTCAGTCTGATCCCGTTTTCAAGGGAATCATTGTCCCGTTCGGAGCAACGATTTTTCTTTCGACATTTTATCGGGTTTCACTTCGTCTTTGCCTCGAGATTAATGGTTAAAGCCTCGGTATCGTCTGCTCGGCTTCGAGACACCTGCAACAATCGTAGAATAGGAAGTCGAACGAGACGCCTTACCGATCACTGCGACGTCTCCTGATCTTCTCGCGCTGTGTCCCTGTTTGTTCCTCGCCGAACAGGTGTACACTCCTGCGTCCCCTTTCTTCTGCACGCTCGTGATGACCAAAGTACCATCCGTGAGCACTTTCTGCCGAAGATCGTCCGGCAGCTCGCGATTCGCTCGTTCCCACTTGATCTCTTCGATAGGGTAGCCGGCTACTGGACACTTCAAGCGTAGAGTCTCTCCGGCGACGGCTGTTACCTTTGGAATCAGTCGAATGTACGGAAGACCTGAAATAAAAACATGTTTACCCTGATTACAACGAAATTTTATCGTTTCAGAAATTAACGCAAAGATATTCGTACGTTCGCGAGTTCGTGAAAAATTGCCCAAGTGTTTATCGGCGAATACTTCAATTTTATTCGAAATTTGTTTCACATTCTGAGGGAAAACGAGCGTGCTCTATTTCCAGTACAAACACATGAAATTTTACAGCCACTTCATTGTTTATAATATGTCGGGAAAATATTTCCCGTTAACGTGGTAATCGAGTCGAGTCGGTCTGACCATAACCAACCGCCGCTACTTACACACCGTTATAATAAAGTTGTCTCTGTCGGGAGAATAAAATTTTATACGAAGGCATAAAATTACGGTTGAAATGCAAATTTCGCGTAGAATACAGCTACAGCTGTATCGGTGTATCCTTTTGTGCCGGGCGAGATTAATATTCAGCTTGATGTATAGATCCAAACGGTCCGACATTCTACGCGGTAATACTACTTCCTCTTCCCTCTCTCTATCTCGATCCACCCGAGATAAAACAACGTTTCGCACGTCTTACGTAAACTCTTTCGTTTCTACGAATTAATTCCCTTTCGTCCGAGTAATCTCGAAGCAACGAAACATGTGGTAGGGTTACAAATCGAGGCACGAAACGTTAAACATAAATTGGAGAGGAACTCTGGGACAGGACAATCCACTTGTTAGACATTATTCACGAACTTCGAACCAAGCGAATTGAACGTGAAATTTACCGTAAACGTTGAGTCGAGCGGCGTGAGTGACTTTTCCAGCCCGATTCTCGGCGGTGCAAGAATATTCCCCTCCGTCCTCGACCATCACGTGGCTGATATTGACGTGCGAGATGACATCGCCGTGGACTGTCACGTATTGACCAATGACGAACCTTCGAACATCGAATAAGAAATCCTTTTTTAACGAACCACTCTGTGGTAAACGATATACAACATTACAGTACATTAATCTCTTTCACTCGCAATTATCGATTACTGTCGTTCGAATGAACGAGAGGAATGGATATTTCCACGGTAAAAACTGGTCCCAATTTCAAACCATATTTCACCGGTGAAGCTCTCCATGCAATTTCAACAAAATCCTCCAAGTTAACGAACAAAGTTTCCTCCGTTCTTTTTTTTTTTTTTTTTTTTTTTTTCAATTAACGATTAACTTCGTTCACGGGGTGCACAGTAACATTCTGCCTCCGATACGCGGAGGAGACCGGTTTTTAATTATCGCGACGCGATGCATGGCTACGCAGTCCAAGCGGGGGACGATTTCAATGAAATTGCTAATTTCACGAATACCAGAGACAAGCAACGCGAAAGAAAAGGATAGAAAAAGAAGATAGTATCTAGGTGGAAAACGTGGACGGTGAATTGTGCAGCGTATCATCGCCCGAAGCTGCGACGTTGTTCGATGTTCGCCGAAGAGGTAGAGGAAATGGCCGAGAACGAGGTTCGAGACGACGATAAAAAGGCAGCAACCGAGGCAAAGAATCACAGAGCGTCTTTTATGTCGATCAGTCGTTAAACCGTACGAGAGAGAGAGAGTTCTCGCGTCATATCCCTCTTGTGTCCACCGTTCGAGCACCGCCTCTCTTCCGTTCTCGACATCGTCCCGCCGCAATAAATATTCCGGCATCTTGCCTGGGATATTGCACTTGAAATTGAAATTGGCCGCGCTGCAGATGCGGCCCCTCTCTCTCGACTATCGCCGCCGGGAGATTGCATTTTAATTACGAGGCATCGAGCACGCGTTAAAACAATCGTTCGCGAGTTACGACCGCGTGCTTTATGCGAAACGATCGAAGGAGAGGGACGCTGTTGGTACGGTTTTATTCCTTTAGCTGGGCCATTGTTCGAGAGAAAGGCGCGAGAATTGGTAATTTGTGTTACCATTTTACTGTGTTAAGTTTATTCGAAAGTTCCCGCCTTTCTACAACTTGTCGCTGTTTCAATTGATTCTAGTTGTAGTTGCGCGAGACAAGCATCCTTTTTCTTTAGTCATCACGAGTGTTACGTATTAATTAAAAGTAATAGAGAAAGTATATCCTTTTTTATTGGATAAAATAAATAAATTCTTTGACTTTCTTTTCGGTATCCCTGATTTATGAATGTTCCTAATTTGAGGATTTTCCTGGATATTAAAACACACGATATGGTGAAATTAGAAGGAAACGACAGAAAATTCTAACTTTCTTAAAAATTCCTCGACATAAAGAGTGACGAATATGAAAGCATAAAAAAAGGACGACAGACTAAAATCTGGATTCTTCAAGAGGAAGTAACATATGGAATGTCCCATTTTTAACCCTAGTGCGCTCTTACTTCGACTACACACTTAGAAGATCCCTTGGGTCTTTTTTGACCCAGAGACCTTGTGTGTAATAATTTTTGTTAGAAACACGTCGTACGAAGCTAGACAATAGTCTTTCAATACAATGTTAAGGAAACATAAACTTGATAACAGCAAAGGTTATTAAAACAATGAGAAATCGATGGGTGAAAAATGACCCGAAGACCTTACTGGACTTAGTAAGTATACTCCAAGCCTTCTTCCACGAATCGTTTGCACCTGTCCCCCGAACTCCACTTAATTAGCACTACATTATTTAACCCAACAGCGTCACATCACTCCGTGGAACAATTAACGTCCGCTTATACCTCGTTTCCTCCTCGGCACTCGAGTATCTGGTTACTGGAACAATTAAGTGAAGCCTACCTTCCGTTGATGGGCAATGGAAAGCCATCCAAGGCCCAGGAGACCTGCGGTGTTGGATTCCCAGCGGCGGAGCACTTCAAGGATACAGCTGGTCCCGGTTGCAACGTTTGCTCGATGAACGAGTAGAGGAGCATCGGTGGCGCATCTGCGAAAACCAGAGGGAAACACCCATCGACACACATATCACCCAACTCTGTATCCTTTATTTTCAACTTTCTTCGCAGTACCAACATCCCACACACACACACACACACACATCGTCTAGTACACTCTCTCGACACTTTGTGCACCGCGATTTTATACGACTTCAAAGAAGCATTTGAAGCACACGCGGTTATGAAACAGCACGCGGAAGAGGAATATCGAAGGAAATACGAGCAACGAGAGGAATTTCTCTTCTCTCTTTTTTTTAACGTCACCATATTTCACCGTTCGACGTTTCGATCGCCTTCGCGACGCTGAAGTCTCTTCTCCGTCGTTGGCGGTATAAAAATGACAAGGACAGAGGAAAAGGAGGGAAGAGAGGAAAATGAAGAAATAGAGGTAAAAGGTCCGAGTCAGTCTCTCTGATCGGAGGACGGCTATTCGATTCGTACAATGACCGCGACGCAATCGAATCCATCTCGTTAAGAACGATACGCGACGGGACGTCGTCGTGGTGGCGGTAGGCAGGGGGATTTATAGCAAACCGGGAAAAGTAGAGATCTCCCCGTTTGCTCCTGGGGAGAGGAGAAAGAACAAGAGGCAAGAGCGTGAAAGACCACGGGCGGATTCTTGATTCCTGAAAGCCGCCACGCCTGCCTGCCGCGCGCATCGCGATAGAAAACGAAAGACAATGGAGTCGCTGCGACGGAAGCGCGCCGGGATATTTTTTCTCTCTCGATGTTTCTATCTCGACGACACGACGACCACGGTAGAGGAGAGAGGAGGTTTCAGGGGTTCGAGAAGGGAGAAATGGACCTGGGGAGAAAAGAGGGTGAAAGCGGGAAGGAGAGAAAGCGCGGAGGCTGGAGAAGGAAAAAGAAAAGGAGAGAAGGAGAAAGTCCAAGATCGAAACTGAGAGGCTTGTCTCTCCGGCGAGGCTTCCAGGACTTTTCATAATTAAAAGTGTCGATTTCGTCGTCATTAAAAATGCTCGAGCGTCCCGTTACAAAGGACAGTTCCGCTTCGTCTAGAAGCAAAGGAGAGAGAGAGAGAGAGTAGGGTAAGTGAAGAGATAGAACGGTTACGTCTAGGTGAATACCAGGCATCCGAGTGACTGAGACTGGGTGCTCGTGGATCCGTACGGAAATTGATGAATCTCGTCTCGATGCCTCCGAGCGATCGTCAATACGTAGTCGTGGGACCGCGAAACGTCCGTCCACCGGTTTCAATAAGACAGAATTCTAGCTGGTATTTATTCAGTCTGTCTGTCTGGCTGGGAAGATCTGTGAAAGAAACTGCGTGCAAGTCGCCAGTCTCGAGCCGGAAGCGAGAAGAAGGGTTTGGAGAAGTCGTCGAATAGAGGTTCCAATTCAGGATGTTACAGAAATAAGTGGCTTGTAGAAAAGACGTACCGACCGTCTCGCAGATTCTTTTTTACCAGGAAAGAAAAGAAAGTTAGGTCGTATTTAATAAAAACCAGGTGTTAAATTTGCAACGGAGTTCGTAATTCTCTTTGTGCTTCGGAGCAAATTCGCGATTCGTCGTCAGCGATACTTAACAATAACTAAGATCTTCGTAACGAAGCTTTATGAAAGAATTTCAAGAGAGAGAGAGAGAGAGAGGAAGGGAGATGAAAGAATTGCAGGTCGAAAGGAAACGTTTTACTCTCCGGAGGCCAGAGAAGCGCGGAGCGTCGAACCGGATCCGCGAAGCGGTGAATCTTCATTCACGCGGCGGGGCAAAAATACGAGGCAGGTCGACGTGGTCCTTATCCACGGGGAAAGCGAAATTTCATAATGCGCCGTGGCTCATAATTTCCCCGGGAACGTAATATTCACCGTTCCAACGTTCGCGTTTTTAATATACGCAAATTCCCCTCTACTTTTTCATCCTGTTTTCTTCCTTTCTACCGGTCGTCGACGACTTCGCCTCTTCGGAGCGTAGGAAAATTAGAAGTGCGCGGTGGGACAGAGAGAAAGCGTAGTTGGCGACTGGTTTGGAAAATCGTTCAGAAGATTACCAACGACGAGCGAACGATCGAAACGCAATTCGTCTCCATTTGGCTTCGGTTCGTCAACGAAACGACTTTCTTCCTTTTTTCTCTTCTTTTTTGCCAACAGCTCTTGGCTCGTAGCATTAGAGGCGAGGTAGCGTTCTCCCCTTTATTCCTGCCTTTTCCTAGTCGTGAAATTGCAACGAACAGTGTAGTAGTAGTAGTAGCAGCCTTCTCCTCTCTCACTCTCTGTTCCTTCTGTCTTTCTCTCCTGCTCTGTCCAAGCCACGGTACGTCCTTACCACGAGGTACCGCTTGCTCGAATTCCCTTTGACGTAAATTCCGTGCATTACCGACGCTGACGAGCGAGAGACGCTAACTTCATTGTTGTTTCAAAGGCCCTCCTCTGGCTGGTTTCCTCCGCGTCCCTCGCAAACGGGACGTTCCTCTTTCATGCACCACTCCTCTCCGTCCATAGGTGGGCGGTCCAGTTATATAGGGCAAACGGCCGCCAGAGAAAGACAGAGAGAAAACGAGAGAGAGAGAGGGAGAGATGCCTCGTGGCGGTTACCAAAGAGTACAGCGGAGAAAGAGGGGGTTGAAGGTGGTAACGGTAGGTGGCGAGGGAAGAGGGATGAGAGGAGGCAAAGCGGCGTAAAAGAAGCCTTCTCCACTTCAAAGCGGCGCTCTGCTCTCGAGGTAACGGGCCACGTGGTCGACATGCTCTTTCCACGATAATCAAGTTGCAGGGGGTAATGTGATCGGTAACGCTGACTACCGATCACGCGATCCTACTTCGTTCGAGGTGTGTTGTTACGTCACTTCTCTGACACGTCACAGGGTTGAGTTGGCCTTTTTGGGGCAGCCGGATCGATCCTATCCGTGGGGCCATCGATACGGTGAAAGTATTTCGAGGGCAATGGAACCCGATTTCCGGCGATCGATCAGCGTGCCTCGTGGTTCGCTCGAGGTTCGAAAGTGTGGTCTGGTTGCATGTAGCAGTTGTTACTTTGTGTCTGGGAATTCGGTGCTACCATTTACATCGATGCGCATTTTCAGATAATTTCGTAGTAGGTGAATTTTCGGTTTGTTAGCTCGAGAGAAGGACTTTTTTGGTTTACGTGCTGGGAAATAACGATCGAAGGAGGGAACTGATTGGCTCGTGTCAGATCACTTCTGGAGAATAGAGAAAGTCTAGAGTTGAGAAATAGTTTGAAAAGCCAGAGTCGCTTAAAGTTGGCAATCAGAGTTTATGGAGCAGCGACTAACACCTAGGTTGATTAGTATCCTTAATCAATTACGCGCCAGTTCAGGCGAGAAGCAATTAAACTTCCGAGTTTTAGAATTAGGGACGACCGGGTTTAAGATTAAAGTTAGATCAGTCGGATGTGTGAGCCACGCTGAAGTTATTGGATTGATTATATGAAATATCAGTTCGATGAAAATATTAATCGAAGGATTGTTCGAAGACTTCATTCTTTCGGGAAGAAATGAAATTTGGAGTAAAGCTGAAAGTGTGCTTTATTCCAAGGCGGATAGATGACAAGCGAAAAGCATTCTCTATGCTAATTGTATCACCCGAAATTTTCGTGGAAGCGTTAAAGTTTCGAGGAGCAGAAAATGTATCTTCGCAGAATGACCTAATTTCCTTTGTACCAGGCGAAGGTGGATAGTTGCGCGAAAAGTGAATTTATACGTATGCATAGACCTACTGAAAGCCCCTCATCTGCAATTCTGATCGAAACTGCACCGCAACTTTCCATGTAATTTTCCTTTGTGCCGCCCAAGTCGAAATGAAGCCGAGTATGTATGTGGAATTTGGTAATTGAGATCGGTCGAAATCGAATCGAAGGGGATACACGTACTGTCGTCCATTCACGCGTTTCTGTGTAGTAAAATCGTGTCGTTGGCGGACCGAAATTTCGAGCGAAGGTTGAAAAATTGATCATATCAGAAGTGAGAAGAATTACAAAATATTAGAAAAATAAATTTGATCGTCTATATTCTTCAATAATAAGAAACAGAAAATTCATCAGCACTCTTATTAAAAAAAAAAAAAAAAAACACTGGAGACTGTATAATAGAGTAACAAATTTGTTATCGATAAATTTTAACAATTGAAAGGAAAGTTAAGAATTCCAAAATCACAGTATTTTTTAATAAATTTCTTACGTACCGCCCAATTGTAGTTCCGCCGAGGCCTGTGCAGTGTCACTTTCCCCTCGTCTGACTATACATTGATACATTCCACGATCTTCCCTGCTGATGCCGTTCAGTCTCAATAATTTCGATTGTCTGCCGGTTCCCGGAAGCTGGCGACCATCCTTGTACCAGGTAATAAAGTGTGGTCCAGCCTGTGGATGTGTGCTGACCTCGCATGTAAATTCAGCGTTACCCCCTAAGTGGACACTCAGCAACGGTGGCGTTACTTCTACGTGCAATGGAGCGGTCACGATGAGCCTGAAGGACAATTTCCTCTGTATTATCTCCTGGACTCTTATGGACAGAATATAAGACGCGTGGAACTTCGTTCTAAGCGCACAGTTTTCGAACGAATCGCATTTTTGGTGTTATAAACTTAGTCGTGACTTGGGCTAAGAGGCCAACACTGAAAAGTGATTTGGACATTCTTTTTTTAGTTAAGGAAAGTGTGTGCGTGAGAGAGAAAGAGAGAGAGAGAGAACGAGAAAAGGAGAAAGAGAAAAATAGAGAGAGAGAAAGCTCAGAGCTTCCTGGAAAATGGGGAATGAAAGCAATAAAGTACGAATCCTAAATGAGAAAATTCTGACTTACATCTTCAGGCATTTTCTTTTTTATAAATTTTAGTTTAGGATAATTTTAATAGTTGATAAATATATAGATACACGGTTTTCCCTAATGTCACTGCTGTCTAGCATTTTCTTTTCGTATTTGAAAAATTTGCAAAGTAATATCGTTAGTCGCGACATTGTACGATTATAATTATCAGGTTCAAGACTAATAGACGTAAAAGAAAATGAAGGTGTTAAATATTCAACAGACTGGAGATTCTTTTTACGGTTCAACATTCGGTCGAAGCTTGTTGACCTAATTTCAAAGTTCCGAAACTTTCAGTTTTTGTAGGGTATAGGAGATGTCGGAAGTTTTTGACTATTTTTCATTAAAAATTTCACTGCTGCGACACGAGTAGCCTTTTTTTTCTTCAGATATGTTACCGAATTTCTGCGCTAGCTTCGCCACCAGGATTAGAAGCGGAGCATCGATAGGTATCGCTGTCTTCCAGCGTCACAGCTTCGAGGGCCAGCACGGATCCGAGCAGTCTGGTTCTTGGTCCAGAAAGTACCAGCATTGGCTCGGAACCGGTTTGTGCGTACCATCTGGAAATGAAATTGTGGATCGAATGGTTGGTGGAATATTAAACATCAAACAGATACGTTTTACGCATAGAAAATTTTATGAAAAATTTCGAGGTTACAGAGCTGATGAACGCTTTTCTCCTTATAGTTACGATCAAATTAAACTTCTTCTTGATATTATTGTTAAATTATGCATTTGTTCATTGTCTGAATTTCTCCATTGAATACTGTCAAGTCTGATAAAAAATACACTTTTCTAATATATACATATATGTATATACCGTAGACCAAAAGTTTGGGAATTTTCAGGAAAGGGTTAACATTGGCAAATTCATAAATTTTCCCATTACTAGATTTCACTTTTCACATTAATCACGAACCTACAGTATTCAACCTGTCATCTTAAATTTCTTTCAAATTTCTGTCATTAATACTATTACTTAAAATCTCCCTCACCGTGTGAATTTTCATTTACCACCCCACCTCTGATACGAACCCAAACCACTCGAATACAGAGCCGCAAAAATTCCCCCGCATTGTACAAAACGACAAACATGCCGAAAAAATGTAATAACAACAAATTCCCTCGCACAGTCCCAATTAACTCGACATCATAACGTATAACGCTCCCGTCCAATTACATTAGCGCGATCCATCCGAATCGCCGCGGAGCTCCGGCACACGAACCAGCCGGGGCACAATTCTCCGAGCACGAGCGAACATTTCGCACGAAAATTCTCTCCTCCCTCTGCAGCAGCCTTCTGCAAAAATCCTTTGTGGCCACGCGGGAAAATAGGTCCTGGCAGCATTCCATTCCGTTGCCGCCTCTGTTCGCCGCGGATCCGGGCAAAAATTTTCGTACGTCTCGTCGCAACTGGCGCGCGCACGTCTGTCGAGGCTAACCCGGTTTGCATGATTGCAAGTTAATGCGCCTCCCTTTTTCCCCGTTTCCGTCGTCGATCCTTTTCTCGATCCCTCCTCCCGTCAGCCGACCCCCTTTCTACCGTCGCGTCGTTGCGGCGGAGAATAATTTTTCATCGAAAGGCTGAAGCGGCCCACCGAGTCTGGAGCAGAGGGGACGAGGTCGAGAGGAGAGCTTCAATTTCACTGGCTTTCGGGCACGACGACCTAGAAACGACATCGAGTCGTGACGATCCACCGCGAGCATTTATCCAACAGATTCCACGCTTTCTTTCGCCTTCCCAACTTCTTGACAGTTTTCGATCGAGGCACGTTCCCCACGTCTCTCGAACAACCTTTCTTTCTCCAAAGAGATCTCTTCTCTTGCCTCTCCTCCTTTTCCTTTTTTCCACTATCTCTCTCTCTTCGTTTCGTCGCGGCGTGTGTAGCTTCCTTCTTCCCTTCGATTCCTCGGTACCAAACGGAGCAGGTCTCCTTTGGGGGAATTTTAGTCGTTGCCTCTCCTCCTTTACTTTTTTACGCGCTTCCCTTTTTCCACTTTCTCTCTTTTCTTCGTTTTATCGCGGCGTGTGTAGCTTCCTTCTTCCCTTCGATTCCTCGGTACCAAACGAAGCAGGTTTCCTTTGGAGGAATTTTAGTCGCGGTAGTTCTAGGCAAGTTCGAGGAGCAAGAGGGTAAGAAGTTACTTCGGTTTGTAAAAACTCGCGAGGTAGATCAGTTTTTCGCTTCTTCTCGAGGGTGTTAAGATAGCATCCGTGGAGTACCGAGTTTCGTTACAGGTGGACTTTATATTCGTTCGGATGGTGGGTTTGCTCTTTGAGGGTTTCCATTCGATTGGATTGCACGGTGGTGTTATTAATTCCGTGGTAAATATGTACGAAGTCTTCGATTTGCGTTCGGTGTATGATTACTGGTAAATTAGAGCAAGTTTGGCTGGGTGAAACTGTGCGGTCTCCATGTTCTATCGATTGGGGGGGGGAACTTATGTCACGTTTAGAGAGATCGAGAGCATGCGGGAAGGATCACAGGAGTTTGCAACTTGGACGCATGGTGGTGAGCCGTGTGAGTATAGTGGCAAGCATTAGTTGCTTTGTGCAGTATTTATTTTGTAAGCTTGAATGGAAGATTGTTGAAGAAAGGAGTAGCTTTTGCCTTCTATAGTGTGTCCATAAAATAAGTATCAGGACGCCTATTCTGTTCGTATAGAAAGTTTCGCGTGATTTTCCTGTCAACGATAAACTCAAACCGAATTTTTTACAATAGTTCGCAAATTTAATGCATAAGAATGGTACCAGCGGAAGGTTTTTTCTATTTAGCTGGCCACTGAAGTCCATTCTAAAATTTTTTATATTCAACGAGCACTTGTTAGCAGGAAGGATGCACTTCTTTTGTCTCACGTTGCTTTTCCGGCTCGTCAAAAAATAAACGACGTCGGATGTTGGATTCCTTTTGGTACCTAATATTATATGATTTAAATGACATTTCTTCTCCAAATTTAGCACCACATATCGGCAAAAATTGTATTGCTACATTACCAGATTTCAGGCTGAATAATTCTTTTTTCTGCATCTCAATTTTTAACGATTGTTTAGCTTGGCTTCAAATTCAAAAAGTGTCCCAAAGCCTATTTCTTTTTCTTTCCTCTATTATCGTGATACGTTATCAAATAAAAAGCTGTCAGCAAAAATGACTTATTGCTCTGTTACCAAATTTTAGACTGAATAATTCTTATTTCTCTAGATCTCAATTTTTGAAAAATTATTTATACTCTGTTCGAAATAAGAGTAACCTCGCTTCGCGCATGGGACGTGCCTAAGGCAGGGCTAGAACGTCTTACCCTGTGCTACGCTCTTTGTCTATGCGCAGATGGACGAGAATCGGTCCGAGAGCGAGGTTACTCTTATTTTGAACGACGCATAGATTTGCTTCACATTCAACGAGTGTCTTAACACTTATGGACAGAGGTTCCTCCGTTATCTTGATCACATTATAAAAAAGAAGCCGCATCTTCCAACACCAACTTCCACCACTTCTCTTTCTTTCCCCAAAGTGACAAGTGTGTGAAGAGACACGTAAACAATCACCGTTTCCAACACCAAGTTCCACTCTAAATCGCTTGAATTAAAATCCCACGAAACAGCGAAGCAAGCTCGTTACATCAACCGAACGGATTAGTACAGCAAAGATCGTTCTTTGCAGTTCTTTCGCAAAACATCTTGGCAAGTTTCACCGGCCAACGATATCGTCGATATATTCTCATCTCTCCAGATGTTTCTTGTCCCGTGCATACGTTTGTCCCGTCGTTGGAAAGGGAGATCTGGAAATTTCTCGCGAGACAGACGGACAGATAAGTGAAGAGAGAGAGAGGATAAAGAAAAACGTCGCAGAGCGGAAGAACGTTGGAAGAGAAGCCGGTGAGCGACATGGAGAGTTTCCGATTGTGCTCCGTTCGCGAGGCTTCACGTTCGAGTGCTCCCACTTTTCCTCGATCAAAGTCGCGCCCAGTCCTTATTCCTTTACTTACCTTCCACCTCGAATATTCCTGTCTTCGATCTTTCTCTTTGCTCCTTATCCCCTTTCGTTCCGCAACGCCTGTCTTTTCCTCTTCCCCTCGTTTCGCTCCACCCTCTAGAGACCGCCGAGAAACCGGTCGTAATTTTCTTTTAGGCAGAAACGACGGATTAGAGGACACGCCGTCTCTCTGCGCTTTTTAGCGTTCCGCTTTTGTCGTCTCTCAAGTGTTCCACGCCGGAGCGTCGAGACGGGAAGCTTTTTCTCCGAAAACGGCGCCAGTGCCGCGTTTGTCTTTTAACGCGGATAGAACGAGTTTACACGTCACTTGGATCACAATGATTTGTATCGAACGTGTATCGATTCAATATCGTACAGCTGCAAATTAAACGCGAGAGTTTCTTTCTTTTCAAGCAACGTTCTGAAGGCCTCGTAATTCGGAATTACACGAAATTTCGCCGTTTCCGTTCCGCGAACATTCATTTCCGCTGCTTTGAACACGCTGCGGTCACTCTCTACGCAATTACACCGTTAAATTTGTTTACATCGTTTGCAATAATAATAACATTAAATTCAGCAACGAACACGGTATCGGTTTTCGATTATACCTAATTATTCCCGTGATTATTTCCGTGTATTATAATCCAGCTGGATTTGTATTTACCGCCTGGTTAATCAGTTCTGTGTCTCTCTGTATAAAAGTTGATAGATGATCTTGGCCAATTGGACGGTTCAGACAGTCGGTTCGGCCTAATTAATCGTGAACGATAGAGGGAGAGAGACTCACCGATATTCGGGAGTAGGGCAGGCCTTCGCCACGCAGACTAACGACGTTGATTCATCTTGAGCGACGTGAACCACGCCGGAGCTTTCAAGGATCACCGGAGGCATCACCCCTCTGTGATCTGGAAAAAACAACGGCCAAGGAGGGGGGAATAATAGGGGGTGGTGGTGGTCGATTAATGCGGCGAGTAATTGGGAGAAACTCGGCAATTTGCCCGGCGACAGAAGAATTCCCGGCTAGTACAGCTCGAGTGAAAATTACTACCTGCTATCCTGATGTTCGCCACGGAACTGACGACCACCTGTCTCGTGAGACGATGCATCGTTCGACATCTGTAACCGTGTATCTGATCGCTGAACTCGAGGCTGTGGACCAGAAGATCGCCGGTAGGCAGAAGGTGGAACTTTCCGTCTGAAACAATTCGAACGGTGCAGAATTTACGGTGACGTACTTTTTGGAACTATTCTTTTTTTTTTTTTTTGAGTTGTTCGGTGAATTGAGCGAAATAATTTAGGGTAAGTGTTGTCCACGCGAATGGTAACATTGTCATATTCGAGAAATGAGCTAAATAAGAAATATTCCAAAATTAACATTGAAAATATTCAAATAATAAACATTCCAAAATTAATATTAAAGATATTCAAATAACAAGTATTCCAAAATTAATATTAATATTCCCAAAATGTTTCGTTTCCAATAGTGACACGATAACGTCCAAAAAATGAAGAAAAGAATAAACAAAAGGTTTGTCAATATTTTCATCGAAATTCATCAATCCCCGCCTAACAATCCAATCCCCAATAACAGAAACGATATTTCAGTCACAAATTTAACCGGACCCAGATCACAGCGAAAAAATGTTCCATCGGGAGACCAGAGGCACCACGCACATCAGCCAGACGTTCAATCTCGAAAACGACGAAGACTATCGCCCGCGGTGTTAAACGCGATTATATCGCTTCCAAGCCAGATAGCACGTCCGGTGAATTATTTAAAGAGAGATACCGGGTGGACAGGGACGTGAACCACCATCGACCATCCTTCTCCAACAAGGGAATGGAACGCGGAATTTCCTAAGCTCTGTATTATTCATATCTGGCGTGCACCGCAATAATTGGCCTCAACGTTTTCCAATAAACCTGCACTCGGATTTGGTATTATCTTTAATAACTTCCACAGCCGCAACTGATGCACCCGGTGTACATCACCGGGTACGTTATAGGGGATGGCGTTCGCGATATTTTCATCGGTACGGCTTTGCGAACGAACGAACGGTTTTACCGTTACGATAATTATGCTAATTCCAGGATTTCCAGCGGCCTGTTCTGGATGACTGGCGGAGATACAATCTCTCCCGTTCTTGCCCCGGCTTTAAGCCCCTGTGCTCGTTCCTTAGATAAGCCCGGAGCAACGTTAATGACGGTAGTTATCCTAAACATTCGCAGTCGTACTCGCGGAACACCCAACCCCTTGGTCGACCAGTTGAGAATCTTTAACGTAGTTCGCGAGTACACATGATTATCTCGCACAGGTCCCGAGGTCGTCGTCGTCTCTCCCTTCCAATTGTTAGTTTCGTTATTCCGTGTTCCTTTTTCCCTTTCTTTGTTTTATTCGCTTCGTCTCTTTCTTTTACCTCTCATTGTCTGTTATGCTCCCTTTCGTTTTAGTTTTTCCTCATTGTTCCCTTGTTTCCTCGTTTGCATTACTCATTTTTTAATTTCGTCCTTTATCTCCTCTTATTTTTACAGCTCTCCCGTTGCTTGTTGTTCCCGCTAGTTGGCTCTCCTCTTCTTAACATCCTTAATTGCATCTTTTTCATCTCTAATTTCGCCGACTTCTTCGTTCTTCCCCGCTTTTCTCGCTCTACGTGTATTTTAATTTCAGTTTTTCCTATCATTCTCGTCTTCCCCTCCCCTGTAACGTTTCTTTCATTTCGCTACACTCCATTCTTTGCTTTCTTTTTTTCGCAATTTATTTCTACCGGTTGGTTTATTCGCAAGCTCTACGGTTATTAATTTTAGTCGCTGTACGATATTTTTGCTTCTTTCAAGTGGCTATTTTTTCCCGAGATCTCGTCCGTTTGCGAGTATCTCTCTGCGTCTTCTCGAACTTTTACAGTTGATTCTTATGCTCTGTCATATTTATATCTTCAAGATCCTCTCTTATTCTTACTTTTGCACCCTCTCTCCGTCGACTCTCTCATTTGTGCCCGCCCTAGTTTCTACTTTGTTACACTCTACCTCATTTTTACCCTCCATCAGTCTCCATTTCCGTACTCTCCCATTTTCTGTCACTGTTACCATCATTCTCGTCCGTTCACAGTCCCCATTTCTTTACTCTCCCATCCGTTTCTTCGCTCCGATCCTCCATCATCGTTTTACCTACACCCCTAACCAACGATCATTCTCCATTTTTCCTGCCGCTTCGCTCTCAAACGCTGATCCGTTACTCCACTTCCACTTGTATAATTATATCATTACCTCTTATTTGCTTTCGGTGTCAACTGTTTCTGCAACCTCGTTTCCACCGTCGTTCGTCTTCGTTTCTTTCAATTACCTACTTTTCCTCTAATTTTCCTCTTTACTTAACCCTTTCGCCTGAGACGCTCGTTTATTCTTACTTTTACTTCTGTCTGTCTTTCGCTTGGAAGATTATAAAGCGAGGCTGACGCGTTTACGGTAGAGAAGGAAACACAGGAAGATGACTCGGCGAGGGTCGAGGTCCGAATTACAGCTTTCGGTGATTTCAGTACGACACTTTTTCAGATTTCAAAAAGTTCAGTCTTTTCAATTAAAAATTGTATCGAGAACCGTGTCCGATCCTCCTCTATCTCTTACCGTCGCGTTCGCTTACTCCCCTGCTAACAGAAATATTAAAAACGAATCCTTCAAGTCCCCACACATCTTGCAATATCCAAACAAAATTTTCGCAGTACCTAAACATTTCGTATAACTGACAAATTAAACACACCAGTTGAATCGCCCCAAATTGAAAGGTTCAATCTTCTCGAATCGCTATTCCTCCTCGAATCTTCTCCCTCAAACTTCTCTCCCCAAAATTTCACTCTACCTTCGTTCTCCCTTATTTCCACCTTGCGCACACACACTCCGTCTCTCCTACACACTTCCCTCCCTCGTGTTTGCTAGCCAGAATTCCTATCCAGTCTCTGTACACGTTATTACAGCTACGTGCGGGTGCACATTCGGCCACGAGACATTAGCACAGCTAAGACCGGTTGAGATAAGCGGCCCTCCTAAATAGCGATTGTCGGCCAAGTCAGCCGGCTTGGATGGGTTATGTAGTTTCGGTATTACACTCGATGCTACTACCCATACCTGCCCGCTCGGATCTATTCATGGTAGATAGGCCACGTATGTAAGCTGGTTCTATGTACCTGCGCGCGTATATAACCCGGCATTATGTACCGTACACAGGGAGCGAGAGAGGGTGAGAGAGGGGAAACGCTGGTGACTACCCCGAATTACGTGCAGCCTGACCATGGCGCTATTAGTAAGATGGATATGTTACGCTTACAGAAATATAGCGCCACCGAGGGGGAACAAAGACGTGGTGATATTATGTGAGCGGCGAGAAATACGACACGCTGCTGGAATCTGAAATGGTGCTCCAGTTCGCGGAGGAATAGTACAGCGAGGTTGGAAGAGGATTGTATAGGTTGATCGAAAATTTCGATTATTTAAAAAGGACGCCGTCTGTGATATTTTCTCTTCTACTCGTCTACTTTGAGGCAGACGAACGGAATATGTAATTTGTGAAATTGTTACCGACAATAGAATTCTCTAGGTTACCGACGCAGATGGTCTGCGGCGTCTCGTGGAACGCCTCGGTTGACTATTCAATTGTTCTTGAACAGAGTCGTGCGTTGCACGTTTTATACAGTAAATTCTCCACAAGTGTCAGTCCGCAAGGAAGCTAAACCTGACACTTGTAGAGTCAGGGACTACGTTTTCGAGGCTCGCGCCCGCCTTTGTAGTTTGCCGAACGTAGACAAGGACAGCGAATAAAAGATAAGGATGAAACGTGAGTCGAGGCAACCAAGCGATTTAAATACCAACTTTTTTAGAAAAATCTCACCAACACGTTAAAAAAAATTCCAGATGAAAAAAAAAAAAATTAAAGAAATTATGTTTTTCTATTATGAATTGTCGAGCCGTGAAATCTCGTAAAAGAAACCGAGTGGTGTAGCGTTACACGCTTGACTGATAGCGTATATAACATAGGCGCAGCAATGACGCAGCCTAGGCGTAGGACCATCTATACTGACACTTGTAGAATCCAAACTGACTGACACTTGTAGAGAATTTACTGTACATCGCGCAGTGGAAAATCGTTTGCAACAGATGTCTGTGTTTGTGCCATCGCCGGGCAACTGCATCTTGCTACCTTTCCCTGCAATTGAACCTCGTGCTTCACAGATTTAAAGGAGTATCAGGTCATTCTATAAGTTCGCGTCGAGTTTTATAATTTAGATCAATATTTTTAACAAACCTTTAGGTTTGAGAGAAAATGAAACTTAAACGCTTTGCCATTTCACAATTTTTTCCTGCAATATTTTCTTTTTTTTTTTTTTGGTAAGATCTTTATGTCGTCGTTATAGAATTTTCTTGGATTTTCATTAAAATACCTTTCGTTTTCGGTATGAATTTATGGGTTGGCCTGATACTTGTGAAAAAAATGGCGAACGTTGTTTAAATACGAAGGGTAGTACCTTTTTTTAAATTAATTATGAAACGAA